ACACCCAGGAGAGCTAAAACCAGGGCTTAGAAGGAAAAAACCAAACCATCCAAGTGTGATGAAATATTTTGCTGCTGAAAAGAGAGGATTTGATGTAAATTGTGCTGTGAGGACGTGTCTTGCCAGTGATTTACTCAGGCTCCAGGAGCCGTGACACTCCAGCTGCTGGCACCTGACTTCCCCTGTCACCAGTTCATGAAGCACAGACCGAAAGGGTTTTGCTTTACTAGACACAATGTTATTAAAGATTTATCCACAGCACCATGGCAGAAAGCTTTTCCTTGTGACCACAGTGCATAGTGGCCTGTGCTCCAAAATAGAAAGGGCAGCTCAGGATTCACCCAAAATGCTCTTTTATGCCAAAGCAGTGGCACTGAATTAACCAGAGCAGCATTGCTGCACACCTGCCTCATCTCCTGCCTCTGCTTTCTTTGCATTTGGCATTAGTAACATCCCAATGAAGTGGGTGAGTTGAAGATATGAACAAAATTACCCCTGCACCAAATCCTACAGTGTCGTAGCATCATCAAGCTGTTTTTTCAATCACATCCAACCCCTGGAGATGCCCATGAAGTTCTGCACTGGTCCCTTCTGGCACCTGGCACGAGGCCACTCCTGCAGTGGCAGAGGGTCGGGGCACACTGCTCAGTACAGGCACAAGCACAGGCTCCTCAGCTGCTCCTCCTCCTGAAGGGCCACAAACCAGTGGCAAAGCAGGGGAGAGGCTCTGGTTCCCACTCATCAGGGAGAGAGTCCAAGGAAAGGCACGGGATGATGAGGATCTCTCCTGCTGATCCAGTTATCTCAGCTGGAGATCCTCCTCCACCGACACCACCCAGGGCCTGTTAAACAGCATCCAGTGCCAAGGCTCTGGGGCTCCTCTTGCCCCTCAAAGAGTGTTGCAACAGGGGATACAATCCTGGCTGTGGGCCAGCGGCTCCTCCTGAGGCTTCAGGTTTGTCACGGGAGGTTTAGATTAGATATTAGGAAAGATTTCTTCGTGGTTGTCCAGCCCTGGAAAGCCCAGTCATGAAGTCACCATCCCTGGAAGTGTTCACAGAATGTGTGGATGTGGCACCTGAGCGGTGAACGTGGTGGTGGTGCTGGGTTGATGGCTGAACTTAATGATCTCAGATGTCTTTTCCAACCTTAACAATTCCATGATCCTATGATTCTCCTACTACAGCAACAAGCTCCTTTGGTGGGATCCTTAAGACAGCCCATAGAGGCACCTGGGCCAGCAGATCCCCCTTCAAAATTTATCCAAAAGAACAGGCCAGTAACAAATCTGTCTGCATCTTTTTCTTACCTGAAGGCCCTTTCTGGGTGGTCAAAGTAGCCCTTAAAATCAACCCCGTGTCAAAGTCCCTTTGCAACAAGCACAGGAGGGGCTCCACACAAGCCTTTGTGGGCAGTGACTCCCAAAATGACACGAAGTCAAGGTTTAACCCAAAGACACCCAGCCTTTGCATCAATGAGTCCTGTTTAACTCTAGATCATTAAACATGTTAAGCAGAAAAACTGCAAAGAATTTTGAAAGCTGATGAAAACATTAAAAATCTTGCCACAAATACCCAGAAAAATTTTAACCATGAGGGGGCAGAGCCCAGGAGGGGCCGACAAGAGGGCAACAACCGAGGGGCCCCTCTGGAAGGAAGCACATCATGTTAACTGCAAAAAAACCCAGCAGCATTCTTTTCTCAGAACAGATTTTATTTCAATTTAATTGCCAGCTTTACCCCGTTAAAAAAAGAAATTCATGAATTTCTACAGGATTCAGAGAGCCGTACGTTCAGAGACATTATTACAAGGCACAGGATCTGCACAGTGCAGCAAACTGCTCCTTGGTAGCAATGCTGGGGCACAGCTGAGGCATGGCATAACATGGCATAACATGGCATAACATGGCATAACATGGCATGACATGGCATAACATGGATTTACATCTGTGCACACAGAACAGCAGGGAAAAGCACCCACAACTGCACATTTGGACCAAACATGTTTCCAATTTATTACAGTATGAGAACAATAACAACAAATGAAAGAAGCAAAAGGAGTTAAGTTTGCCTCAGGAGCTTTGTGAACTCCAGCCAGCAGCTCTGGAACAGCCCAGTGCATCCCAGAATGAATCATCACTTCATGCCCACTCCGGATCGCAGGCACACCATCCTTCACCAAGTCCTTTAAATAGCACTCTGGCTCTAAATGGAATTGTGCAAATTCATTGTAGGATCTGTCACTTCACTTCCCAGCTCTCTGCACACGTGGGCCCATCACTCTGCCTTAACCATTTCCATGGCTCAGGCCAGCACCTGCACGTCAGCCTGGGGGTTACCGCACGGGATAGCTCTTGTCCTGGGATAGAGACAGCCCTAACACCACCACCAGGACAATCAGAGGCAGTTCAGCTTTACCTTAAATTAAAATGCCCATTCATAGGAAGAAAAACAGGGAAGATGATGATTTCTTTGCTAGGTATCAGGAGGTCCTGGGGCTGAATAACCCAGAGCTCATCCCCCATTCCCTACCCTCGTGCCCTCGGGATTTGTGCCCAAGTCTCCTGGCAGCAAAGGGGGGCAGTCCCTGATGGGAGCAGCTGCTGCAGAGCAGGATCTCCTTCCTGACGGCCACATCCAGCCCTCCAGGAGAGCATCCCTGTCCAGCAACCATCTGGCTCCTTAGCCTGGAATGCCACTAAAGGCACAATGCTGCAGGGATATGCAAAAACTTCTTCAGGGAGCAGCACAAGGTGAGAGAGGGTACGCTGGAAACACGTCTGCTTTTCCTTAGCTCCTGTGAAATTCCTGCCTGCAGCACAAGAACCACAGCACTCACAAGGAAGCCCCCCACCCTCTGCACATGTACCCACCTACAACCTAGCCAGGACAACGTCCCTGCATGCAGAGTGAAGCATAGTTATAAACAAATACCAGCACAGTTTCAGCAGCAAAGGCCAAGATATTCTAGACTTGCCAGGGAAACTGGAATTCTGCAGCTAAGCAGCCTCATCCAAGACCCTGCTTGGTTTATTCCCAAGTCCATAACACTGGTTGCCAAAAAGGACCTGACTCCCACGCAGGTACACACAGGTTTCCTCCAGGAGCTGAAGATAGAACTATCACTATCTGCATGTGCTTGCAGAGAAGCTTCTGAAAGAAAAATCTTCCAAGAATGTCTCTCAACCTATGCACATGCCAGTCTTATAGGCAGCCTCACCTTCACTTTTGGAATTAGTAACTGGTCCTCATAAAGGAACAGATTATTTTCTACTCTTTGTTGTCAGGTCCTTTAACACTGGGATGAACCAAGACTCATCTTTCCTCTCTCCTCCCAGCTCTAAATCTTGGTACAGCTCATTCCAGATCACTTTTTTCCCCCCCCCGAGAGGCATCCTCATCTCAAGCAACCTCAGGAAGGGAGGAAACACAGTTCTAGCCTGTAGTAAACTTCCCTGTACCATACTGGGAAGAAATTTTTCCCTGGGAGCCAGGTGAGGCCCTGGCACAGGTTGCCCAGAGAAGCTGTGGCTGCCCCATCCCTGGAAGTGTCCAAGGCCAGGTTGGATGGGGCTTGGAGCAACCTGGGCTAGTGGAAGGTGTCCCTGCCTACAGGGTTGGAACAAGATGGTCCTTAAGGTCCCTTCCAACTGAGCCCAGTCTATGACTCTCTGATTCCATATGGTTTCCATGCCAAGAAGACACTGTTTAAGGCACTAGGAGGACCATGTCCTGCTGCACAGGGTTAGATGGACCCAAGAGGGCAGTCCAGCAAATTCTCATCTTCAGATTCAGAAAGGCACTGATAACTTCTGCAAGTCTCAGCAGCAGCTCACAACAATTTGTAACCTGTTATTCCATGGGGGGTAAGCTTAAAAGAAAGAATCTGCCTGGGAGCAGTAAGGCCTCTGCTTCTGCTTCAAAATAAGGTGTGACTGTATTATTTGGAATAATGATTTTTGTGTGTACAACAGTATACTGCTCCTCTAAGGAGGTTTCAAATTTTGCTTCAAAGCAAAGATTTAAAACCCCTTCACCTTTCAGAGGTAGTTCTAGTCCCTCAAGAAGGGGCAGCTAGACGAGGTAAGCAGCATTGGTGAGAGGGATGATTTTAAATGTTATAAACTAGATCTGCTTTGCTGGAGAAAAATACAACCTGTTTTCACCTTAAAGACAAGGCAAGGCAGGGAGAAAACAAGAGACCATGATTAAAGCCCTCCCCAAGCTGGGAGGCAGCACAGCAGCAGCCGTTGTGTAACGGGGGCAGCAGAGCCTCGTGGCTGCCCAATTCTGTAGGAAATAGGATGTTTTCTCCTTAATAAGAGTCCTCCTTGGGATGGGATCAAGAGACACATGAGCTGGTGGGGTGGGGGCAGGGGAAAGGAGTCAAAAAACCTTCTTTGCTGGGTGTTATTTTGTTCCATGGCATTTGCCTCGTTCCATGTTTGCAGCAACCAGGATTTTATATGTTTACAGCATCCCTTGGCCCACTGCTGATCCTGGGGCATGTCTGCCTGTGGACACAGAACACTCTGCTGCCACAGGGACATCGGGGAGCTGGGAGATTTGGCCACCCAACTCCTCCCCTGGACTATATCCTTGCTGCTCTATCAAGAGAGTGCTGTACTGGAATGAAACACAGTCATTACAAGAAGATTTCCTTTGGGGGAGATCACAGATCACCTTCCACCAGACCAGGCTGCTCCAAGCCCAGTCCAACCTGGCCTGGAACACTTCCAGGGCTGGGGCAGCCACAGCTTCTCTGGGCAACCTGTGCCAGGGCCTCCCCACCCTCACAGCCAAGAATTTCTTCCCAATATCTAACCCTGCCTTCTGCCTGTTTAAAACCATTTCCCTTTGTCCTACCTATATAAAAAGTCCCTGATGATGACATTTTAATAGCATGAATAAGGTTTAAAGCTGAAAGACAATTTTCAGTCTGTTTTGAAAAAAAACACTTGAAATGACTGAAAATTTCACATGAGATCCTCCAGTGCTTGGTAACTTGTGCTGTATCTGTTTATTCAGATGACATTTGATTTGATCTGGAAATTTCCTGACTGAACGAAGAGCCACAAAAGTGTCTTTCTCACCAGGTACAGGATCATGGTCTCCCCAAGCTCCTGATGCTCTTGAGCAGTAACTGAAGAACTCTCCACAGCCCTTGGCACTGACTGAGGCAGGAGCAAGCTGAGAAACCCCCAGCTGCTTCACTTGCAGCCCAACTCCCTGCCTCTCCCTCAGGAATTTTATCTTACAATGGTTTCTGCAAGTTTCTCAGGTTTCAACTCACAGAAAAGAAAAACAGGACATCATCACATGACATATGAACAATCCCAGACTCTTCAAGTACTTCTGGCCATAAAAAAGCCCCATGTCATGACACTTAAGTCACTGCAAAGTATCTTGGATTAGTTCCGTTTCTTAGCCACAGAGTGCAAAGCACTTCACTGGGAAAGGGAGAACTAAATAAACCTTAAAGATCTTGGTAGTCTGAAGTGCTTCAGGTCAGACATTCCAGTCCCTGGGACCCTGTGTGGGCCTGGAACCAGTCAGCACCAGCTCCAGGGCATTCAAACCAGGGCCAGCAGGGTTTGACCAGGAACAGGCCGGGATGAGGCACCAGCGGGGAATCCAAAGACACACTGAGTACAAGGCAGACACAAAAAGAACTGGCACCCATAAACTTTTCACACTTGAGCTCAGGGCAGGGAGTAAAAAGGATCTAGACAAAACAGTTCTGAAATGGAGATCCATTTCTTAATAAGGCTTTGAGTGCATGTGTTTGTTTGAAGTACTTTTCTTAAATTAATTACCACAAAAGACAGGCTAGCATTCTTCAAACAGTTGTGATCCTTCGTTCCAGTATAAAACACATATGCAAACATGGCTTCAGACCCTCACTTAGGAGATCGTTTTAAAGCTTGTATTAAAAAATACCTTTTTTATCCAAACGATAAATATTTTAAAATAAGCATTTACAAAAATAAATGGTCCGTTCCCAGAGGGAAGGACATTTATAGCTGAAATTCTGAATACATCTGGAGGCAAGGCAATTATTGATGAAGTTAGTTAATAAAATCTTTGGTATGAGTACAGGAGATTAATATTTATGCACCGTTGGCTTCCCTTGGCAGGTTACTGCACAGACAGGCGAAGAGGCAGCTCTTCCTTATTCTCTTGATATGTCTTCCAAATACAACATACAAATATTTCTAACATGTCTTCTTATGATAATAGGAGAAAAGCCCAAGATTCTCCTGGCTCTTCCTATGACTTTTGTATCTAAAAGAGAATGAAGACGGGAGGAAAAAGAGAAAGTGAACACAGTTAAGTTTCATTCTTAGCGGGGAAGCAGCACCTGCAAAAAATTAAAAATCAATTGAAAATAACTGGAGGAAAAATTTCCTTCAATGTTGTAGAAATCAACTGCCAAGAGAGGAGAACAAGGAATCTGTTGGGATTCATTGCTGCAAGTTCAGACAGGAAGAGGAGACTGGTGAGTTAGGGAAGGGGCAGCTTTACACCTGAGCATGGCACTGGGTGGTGCAAGGCTGGACCACCCCATCCAGGGCTGCTGGCCCTGTTACACACGGGGCACTGAGGTACTACAGAGAGTCAGGAAACAGCCTCACAAACTGGAAAAAGCAGCCTTGCAACAAAACACTTGTTGAGATTATTTTTGCTGAAATTACTGACTGAAGACATAGAGATGACTTGAGGCACAAGGAGCTCTACAGGGAGAAAATATGCAAAGTCAGCTGGCACAGAAACAAGGGGCAAGGGGCTCTGCAGTCTGGTAGAGAAAGGCTGAACAAAAATGTTAGGCTGGACCTGAAGCCAGTTCAAATTGAGAGTAAGATACACACTTATAATGCTATGGACTAATTGGGATCAGGGGAAGTGATGAATTCTCTGTTTTTTGGTATCAGTCCCTGAAGAGTTTTCTGAAAATGCTTTTATTATTTCAGTGGATGACTGAACCTGATGAGGGGAAGCAATGGCATCTAAGGAAATACATGGGTTTGGCTTGAGGGTCTAAGGGTTCCCTCAGCCTTAAACTGTGACACCATGGACAGTCCAGCTGAGGGATTCTGATCTGGGAATGAAGCACAGAGCCCAGACTTCCACATCACCTGAAAAGTCCATTGACTGGTGCTACTTGACACCTACAACTCTGTGAAGGAAACCAGCAGAGAACAATGTAACTGTAACTGCTGTGTCCGGGGCACAAGGAGCAGAAGGCACTAACCCAAAAGTGACAGGTAGAGCCAACACCCAGAGCCAGCAGCAGGGGCAATGGCTGTAGCTGCTCGGGCTCAGCCAGTCGAGCCAGCGTGGTCCAGCCCTGGCACTGGCCAAGCTTACACCGGCCCCCAGGGGCTGTGGGAACCAGGGGCCTTGGGTCTGTCTCATGACTGCTGGGAATCATGACCCATTGCTATAGCAACAGGAGCTCATGTGACCACTGCCTTTAAAAAGAGTCCCTATTTGTGGCATCCTCTCAGGCAAACTATCCATTATTTATACCACAGCACGTCTGCAGTGCAGTTTGTATCCTGAGCTCATCGATGAATGATGACACCTTGACCCTCCCCGTTGAGACGTGTCAGATCAGGAGCCCTCTCTGTCCCGTGCTCAGGGAAGGCAGAGCCTTCCAAGGTGTTTCCTTTCCCTTTCCAAGAGAAACCCCACAGAGCAGCTCACCTGAGTTACAGCAATACCAAACCAGGGCAAGTCCTGCAGCCACGCTGAAACAGGCCAGGAAAAACACTGGGCCTGGAGAAAACGCAAAAGGGAACACATTAGGGGCAGCAGAAGTTTAGCTTGGTTCATGAATCATCAATTGCTATTAATATGCATAATTAAGCATATTCAAATGAAGCTAACACATTCACAATTCTGTTTGTTCTGTGGCTAATGTTCTATGAGGCACGTTTAATGGACAGCAATTAATTTTTACTACAGTTGCTTTGCCACCCCCCTCTGCTCCCCTCTGCTCATCTAGCTACAGCCTGTAGAATTTAAGGGAAAGCTTCCTTGGATGTTTCATCACTCTCAAACTTCATGCAACCCCCCTTTAAACACCAGAAGAAACACTAACCAGCCTGCAGGGCTCTCACCACACAGCGTGGCACTTCCATTCACAGCCCCTGCCTGAGGGTAAGAGACCACAGCCCCTCAGAGCCACATTTTTAGGGGGTTTTTCTATCCCCCACAGATGTTCCACAAACTCCACTCTCATGACAAGAGCAGATATCCTTGCTCCTGTTTACAGCTCTCCTGAGGGCTGAGATGAAGAGCCACACGTGGGCCTAAAACAAATCTCCCCCTGGAAACTGCCTGCCTGGAATTACACATTTAATGCTGATGGTTGGTATTGATGTTCAATAAAACCTTTCTAATTCATACTTAGCTACTGACAAAACCTCGTGAAGATTTATATCTGCTTCTTTATTGCCCAATATTCTATTTGTATTTACCACTTCACTAGGAATAGAGCTACAATTAAACTACATCTGTCAATTTAAGGACAAGTGTGCTGCAGACTAACAAATTCCTGGAGCTGACACTGGAGAAACAGCAAAGGAGCAAGGATTTGGTTGCTCCTTGGGATGTAACCTCCCAATGAGGGTGGCTAGAGGCCAGACAATCTCCAGCCTGAGGACAGCTCAGGAAAAAAAACTTTTAAAAAGTAAAAATAAAGTAAAATAATATTTCATTTTCTTATTTCCAAGCACTTTCTCTGCTCCTCCTGTACTTTTAGGATGCAGACAGCAACAGCAATGTGAAAAATCTAAAGAGCAATTTGGTTCCATATTCAAAGAAACACCACCACAGGCAAAAGTATACATTGCACTACACTGTGTTTCTGCCCCGTGTTTCAGTCTTCTCCCAGAAAACTGGCAAAAAGGCATAATTTACAGAAAGTGTCTTGAATATCTCATAATTGTATCCAAAATTCTAAATAAAATATTAATTAAATGATAAAACAGCTCATTATAAATTCAGAAAATTCTTCATCTTTCTTTCAGCTCTTCCTTTCCAAAATATCCTCCAGTGAATAAAATATTTGTCTGTGTAATCTGGCATTGAACAGAGGAAGGTGAAAATAATTAACATGTTTTCCTAAGGAAAATACATTTAAGTACATCTTTCCTTTCTGCTTTTGCTTTCAAATGATTTGTACTTAAATTGAGAGCTCAAAAAAATGAAAAAAATTGAAAGTCATATTAAAAAAAAAAACTGATGGCCTTATGCAAAGTGATAGCAGCATCTGAATAGCCCTTACTGTTCAAGCACTGAAGAAATCACAGGAAATGAAGAGTTTAGCTGTAACAGTATAAGTGAAAATACCATTGTAAATATTGATTAAACTCTACAGTCTCTTCAATTTCCTGGCACTGGTTTCCCCAACAGCAGCTCAATACATTTTACTACATTAATTCTACTTAACTTGTGACAGTAAAGACATCATAAACCAAACTAGTTGTTACATGAAATGCAAATTACATGATAAAATAAATTGCATCGTAATCTGCAAAGCCATTCCATCCGGTGACACTGTATGGTTTATTTACCCCTGTCATTTAGCATATATTGCTCCTTGTCAGTGTCTATCTCTGTGGGATCTGGGGTTTCTAGAAATAAAAGCAACACATGAGAAGTTAGTACTCAGCTCAAGCAAACAAACAAACATAATCAGCACATGCAAAATGGTGCAAAACAACACATTTCAAAAAAAATACCCAATATTGACATAAAGTTTTAACTCCTCCAAAGGTAGATCATCACTAGAGTCAAAGGTGGGGATATGCTGATCAAAAGACAGGCACACAGTCACCTGAATGCAACCACAAACAGCTGCAGCCCCACCTCTGATCTGCTTAAGCAAACTGAGCACATAAATAACATTACACTTGTTTCCCAAGTGAGGAAAGCAGGAGCTAATTCTTCCATAATGCCAGTAATTTTCATGGTAATAAATATAAACTATTTGTTAATAGATGCACTAATCTGAAAACACCTTTATAATTTGATGTATCGCCATTCTCTGTTCTTGAGCAAATCTCTCTGGGTATTGATGTATTTAATGGATAAAGCACTTGGAAAAAGCCTCTTGGTGCAGATCATTTACCTAAATTCAGGTCTTGGCTAAAGACACGCTCAGCTTCTTTGAAAATCTGTAGGTTCTACGTGCTAACCTTTGGCATAAATAATTTTTGCCTCTATCTTTCTGCAAATTCAAGTAGAAAAGGAGGTTGGCCTTAAGACACGGTGTTCAGTAGTTTCCACTCTGGGCAGAAAGACCCTTTTAGAGCTGCCTTTGCCACACAGATGTGGAGACAACACTGCAGAATGGGTGTGCACACAGCAGTCACCAGACATGGCAGAGGAGTGACTTTCCTCAACACATCACCAATCTCCATAACAATTTTTTCAGCCAAATCTCTTTGTGGTCATAAAAATCACAGAATCACAAAGGTTGGAAACGACCTCTAAGATCACCAAGCCCAACAGCCAAAGGGTTAAAAGGGTTAAAAAAAGGAAAGGAGAAAAAGTGAGAGCTCCAAATATGGCTGTCAATAGGAAATAATTTGAGACTGACTGGTTTCAACTGATCTCCTTCTCCTACATGACATCTGGAGCTCGGTGAGGTGCCTTGGAAAACTGCCCTGCACACCCAGGCAGCAACAGGACCTGCTGTCAGGGGAGCAGCCACCTCCCCTGCTAAAGACGTCCCCCTCGGTGTGGGGGCAGCACACGGCACTGGTGCAGGACAGAAACCCCTGCAGCACTTTGCTTTGTGAGGCCTGAGAGTCCCTGAAGCAGGAAGGATTGCTGCAAAGCCTCCATGGAGCACTCCGTGTCACCAGCAGCCTCACCCAGCCGGCCCCTTTGAGGGGCTGATGTCCTCCCTAGGAACTCCAGCTGGAAATCCTCACTCTGCACAGGAGAGCACAACCAGACCTCTGCACTTCTCTCAGGATTTTGCTGCCTGGGGCTGGTCTGAGCCTTTATCCTTCTAGTCTATGTCAGCACTGAGGGAAATAAAAACATTTTCTGAGTCACTTGGAAGCTCCTGTTTGCCTCCAATAGCTCTGAGGCTGCCCCAATCGTGTGCCTTACCCCCCCTCTAGTGGGAATGCTCCGACATTACCAGACATTGCGCTGGCAATTTACACTTCAGGCAAAGAACTTTTGTTCTAGCACAATTTTTAAAGCTGTTTTAAAAATGAAAAAGATACATTTGAAAGGATTTCCTCTGTAGAAAACATTTGTCATATGTACAGTATGTAAGATATTACAGAACTCCGTCCTGGCCATGGTTCATCCATGTCCTTATCAATAACTTCTCCAGGTGTTTGTAATGCTGTTTGTTTCAGCTCAATCTACACTTAGAACAAACTCCCCATGTTAGGGATTCTCCTTTTTCTTCACATTTACAAATTCTAGTGGCAATTCGGTAAATGCTCTGTGCTAAATTTGACAAATTTAACAAGTACTTCTAAGAGTATTATAGAATCATGGAAAGGTTTGGGTTGGAAGGGACCTTAAGGACCATCCAGTTCCACCCCCCTGGCACGGGCAGGGACACCTTCCACTTGACCATTTCTTGACCATTCAATCCAGACTGCAGACATTTGTTTTAATTACAGAACTCATAAGAAGCAGCAAGCATATTAACACAGTCATCTCAGTATTTCCTTCTCAGGTCAACAGAAGGAAACTGCAGAATCTCGGCAAATAGTAGTGTTTTAACCCAGATATTTAAACTATTCTCATCCTTCTGAAGATGGTTAACATAAGAGAGTGTGCCAAGATACAGAGAATTTAACAACTTTTGATGGTTACTGAAGTCCCTTTGTATAATGCTGCAGCAGCAAAACAGTTCTGGGGCACCACAAGCAGCTGTATGTTTAACAGGAAGCACTTCTAGCACAGGTACTTGCTATGCACAGTCTGCACATGAGAAGCTCTAACCCTGCCTATCTTGCCACCTGAGGAAAGCTCTGAGTCACCACATAAATCAAGTGCAAGGATGAGCACACTTCTGCTCTAGCTAAAAGTGAAAACACCCCACAGACCTTACCCAAGTCTCCTTGTGAAGACATATTATCAGAAACAGCTTGTAGAAGGTGCTACTGAACATTAACAAGCTTGAACTCTTAAACATCAAAACAGTCTTGAAATTTTATTCTTAGTGACTACACTAAGGCTTTTTAAACTGCTCTTAATTTACACAGGCTGTCTGCTGACTTCTAGTCAGCCTGGCAGAAAAACCTGTTGCTCTTGAGTTCTACCCAACTAAAAACCATAGATCCAAAACTAAGAGCCTGTTTCCCAAAGGGTATGACTTCTACGAGGTGAGTATCAGATCATAACACTGTCTTAAAGCTGCTGCGAGGCTCAATCAGTTGGGATTGGTGCTCAGCTGAGATCCTGAGGCAGGGATGGGCCCTGAAGTCCCCAGTTCAAAAGGGTTCAGGTATGGATGCAGGGTAACTGCAGCCTCACAGTGTTTGTGCTGGGTAGATACAAACCCCTTCCTTCAAAATGAAAGTTGAAATTAAGCTAATTACATTTTTACACAACATTTTCACTGCAGAAATAAAAGAGGTCAACCTACAGACTTTTGCAGTAATGGTTTGAATCCCACTGGAGTTTGTCTCACGCCTGTAATTTGCCCTGGCACCTCACTGTGGAGTTTCTTACAAGAAGAAACCAAGTGACTGGTGAAGCATTACTGCTGGGATACTTTATAAGGATTTCTTAAACTGCAGTCCTTTTGCAGTTTCCTTAACATAAATGGGGGAGTTTTCCCTCAAGCTCCTCAAGTCATTTCAGCGTGCAGGATGCCTGAACCGATTTCCCATCCACTTGCAACAGTGTTCTTTCCTGCATTTCTTAAGTAGGGAAAAAAAGAAAGACCAACACACAGTAGACAGCATTATCACATGCTGGCAAGTCAGGCTTGAAATTTTCCTTAAAGAAATGAACTCCTTTGCAGTACAGAATCAAATCTGTTTGAGCCTCAGCTCTTACAAAGTGCATACAAGTGTATTTGGGGGGCAGCTTTATGGACATCAGTCAGGCCTGTCAGCTGCACAAAACAAGTCCTAAGTGATTTTAATATCACAGTCCATCAGTGCAAGGGCCTATGAATGTGTGCTTCGTGTTAAACTAGACACAAGAGGAGATTTATGGACTGAGGGAAAGCCAAGCTCCTGGGCCAGCAGACATTTGAGCTTAACAAACTGGAGGTTTGTGATGTTCCCCTGTGCTGCAAGTCAGAATAAGCACAGAGGAAATAAACAAGCCATTATGAAGCAATGGCTATGAAAGAGAAGCTGTAATTCATAGGAGTTATACTGCTGACATGTTGCACTTAAACTGTTTTAAAGACATATTTCGTATTTCAAAAGAATCAAAGAGTTTTGCCCGCTCTAATCAGCAAATAACAAGAAGTCAAATCCCTGTACGGCTTTTGGAAAACTCCAGTGAGAAGGCATTAAGGTATATCCAAACATTTTTTTAAATAATCTGTTTATTTATATTATTTATAACCCATTTAGGTTGTCTAAATAACCTAAACCTCATCTAAAAGGAGGAAATTCACTGATGAGGAAATTCACAACTCAGTCAACTTACAAATCAACTTACTCAAGATTTTCCTACTTGGCAGGTCATTAAACAGCTGTTCAGCATTGATCTGCAGAGCCCTGTAAAACTCCTGACAGTGTCTGTCTCCTTTCTTTTGAAGGTGCTTTAACAGATCTGAGAGTCTGGTATGGAGTGATGCCTTTGGATTCCTGAACTGTAAGAGAAAAGCACTCATCAGAAGACAGATTACAACAGCTAGAGATCAATTTTACATCACCTTCCAGTATGCCAGGGAGCAAAGATTTGGAGCTTCTTTGATATTTCAAAGGCCAAAAAAAATAAGCAGAACCTATAAAGGACATACATGCACTGCAGAGCACTGAGCTCCCCATGGTCAGCACTGCCTGATGGAGAGGATATTGCCTCTGCTTCCCCTCATGCTTTTTTCCATCCTGATCAAGGGAAAGCCACTGCATTTGATGTCTTCCCTGGATCCAAGCTAACATGGTATTGCTATTCTACAATTCTATTCTGACTGTTGATAGAAAACATCGTCAAATCTTATAATAAAGCTTGATGTTTTCAAATTTGCTCTTAGTTGTCTAGTAATAAAGTGCCCAAAAAGGCACTTTATACTCCTTATCCTAGTCCCAGTATTGGAGTGCTCATCATCCCAAGATTACATATTTCATTGTTTTTCTTTGATTCCAGCACAATTAACTGCTGAGTGCCCAGTTCAACAGGCACAAATTCCCATTACTCAGGTGACATGATAAGCAGCTGCAGAGGAAAATTACCTCTTTTCTGTAGTGCTGAATGTGATAAGTATTAGGAGACCTTACAAAGAGAAGGGAAATGCATCCCTAGGCTTACACATCAAACTGATTTCAGCTTATTTGGAAAATGTCCAAAGCCATTCTCAGCAAAGCATCATATTTCATTGCAGCACAGTGGATAACCTTTGGAGCATACTGAGTTAGGAACAATTCCTGCTCAAGGGGGGCAAGAATGCCACAGACCTTACACAACACTCCTTATTCTGATTAAATTCCCACAGGGTCTACCAGATACAGCTGAGATTACAAGCTTCCTAAACACTCAACAGAGTTGACACAAACTTGCCTGGACCCATGCAAAAGCAGCTCACTGCTGTCTAAGTGCAGAACTCACAAATCACATTTCACAGTTTCTTTATGTATTTCTGTTGAAGCTCTTGAGGGAATGAGATGATCTTGTCTGGCACATGTCACACTGGTTATCATAACTGAGTGGCAAGACTGGCTCAGCTGATGATCTAGCTCTGCTCTACACCACAAAACACTAATTGTCCCCACGGGGTTTGATTATGGCAGAATTAGACCCATTTTTCCTGAGGTTAAAACACTGACATGCCAAAATATCAGTGCAGATATTCCTGAGCCTTGTGCAGACAGGAAGCCAGCACAGGGCAAGTACAAACTGTTACAAGTAGGATCAGGGAAGCTCTTTAACTTTGTCTCCACACAAACTTAGAAGCTCTTTCTCTCTAAAAACACCTCCCATTTTTGAAAGATTCATGCCAGGGAGGATGGCCTTTCTGCACACCTGGCAGCACCACTGCAAGGTGTTACTAACTCCATCCACTTCCTGTGGCTCCTGCACTTACTGGTGGGACTAACACCCCCTCCTTCTCTACCAATACTCGGAGTTATTAATTAGTTACTAAAACTGACTAAGCTAAAAGAGATGATTTTGTGGACAGAGCTGGATGCAGCACAGATCACCTGACGTGACACCCCCACACCGCCCCATGTGAGGAGGAGGCACGTGGGGCACTTGGTCACAGGATGGTGAACTCCTGCCCATGGAGTGGCTGTGAGGGTGCGTGCTCCTGGTCAGGGCAGGGACCCTGGCACTGGGAGAGTGTCCTCTCTCATAACCACTTGGCACAGGGAATGTGCCAGCCCTGTGACTGCTCCTCTCACATGAGATCCCAGATACAGCTGGCCAGCAAGGAGGAGGTGAGGAAGACTGGCTGTCTGTGGGGAAGAGCTAGGCTAGTGACCCGCAAAAACAACAGTCAGAGACACAGCAGAACTCATCAAATTACCTTTTCTGCTTCTTCATTGGTAAGAATTTGGGGATAGACTCTGTTAAGTTGAAGAATAATTTTATCAACCACTTGCTCATTCAGTCGGCTGGTGCTTGTAAGGAAATACATGTCGTGCTGCAGCCGATGACAATACGACTGATCTAGAGAAAAAACAACATACAGAACAAACCACAGCAGTTAATTAACAAGCCATTTTTAAATTCTGTAAATTCCATTTTCCTACCATTAAAATTACCATCACCACCTAATTTTAGAAAACTGAACTATCTGTTAGGGAAACACAACACAGCCATTGGCTTCCAAAGACCCATCCACTTGAAATGACACACATCCAATCTCCTGGCTGGTCAGTCCTGCTACCTCTCTCTTTCCAAAGGGAGATGGTTCTAAATCATTTAGAAGTCAAGCACTGATGGGTATTTAATCAAATACAGCCCTAAAGTTAATAAATCACTGAAAATAAATTTTCTATCATATAGGAAGCCAGATTATGACATTTAAAACTGATGTGTTTTATAACAGCATCTCTGCCAAGGGGCCATTAAGGTTTTTAGGAAAGGATTTCACACAGGAAGGGAAGAAAGGGCATTCAAAAAGTAGTACATTTTTACAGGTAAGTACACTCAATACACACACACAAATAAACCACATCTTTTTCTACTAACCCAAGCCTCTGCAAATACACAAATCCAGATTTGCTGTTGGTTTAGGCATCATACCCAATTTGTCAGCAATGGATTTTGCAGGAGCATAGCTTTCCCTATAGCTGCTTGTCTGTAATCCCTAGATTAAGATACAAGCACAGACTGGTTCCACAGGTTACTGTGCCCTTATCAGATTTAAAAAGAGAACATCCATGACCGTGTCTGGAATGAGTGTTAAAATGCCAGTACAATGCTTTACAACTGAGCAGCACAGAAAACAAACACAAAACACCCCCACACCCCCAGCACTTCCTCCGTTTAAAGCAAAGGTGTGGGTTTTATGGTATTCTGGCTACCAGAAAATACAAAACCATCAGCCCCTTGTGCCCTGCAATTTACAGAAGACAAACAAAGGAGTGAAAGAAAAGAGCCAAAAAACTTTGCCCTGATGCACTGCACCTACACACAGCCCTTGCCCTTCCTGTAGTGTCACTGGTTTGGGTACTACATTGTCCTTTTTCTGTATCTGTGTAGCACTGACAGCATTTACAGGAAAGGGTTCAGGAAAACCTCCCAATGTGACCATCACCTACTTCTGCAGTGCCAGTGCCACTCCTATTCAAACAAGAACACACCGCTACTGATGGGGCACAGAGAGCTGTGATTCTATGGGCACAACAGGATTCCAGCTACATTCTTACTTTTTATGCAAACACCATTTTACTTCCACGTCTTTCTAATGCCTCACTTTTCCACAGCTTGCTCCAAGGCAGCTGTAGTGCACTGTCACAAACACACTGCCGTGAAACACTCCCTGTGCTGAAATACTTCCCTTCTGCTGCGAGAGGTTCCAGGTTCTCCTGGATTCAGAGCTGAGATCAAACTTCTCTTCAAATCAACACATTGGCATGCACAAAGGGCTGAGGCAAGGACCAGGAAGACCGTAAAGTTGTGCCTGTTCGTGCAAATGCTTTCTGGGTAATGGAGCTCCCCGAAGCATCCTCCCCCTCCTCTGCCTCAGTGACATGATTTGTAGTGATTCTCAGTGTCACCAACAACTCTGTACCTGCACTTGGACAGAACATGCATTAAACCAGGGTCTTACAGCCGAGCAATTAAACTTCAGACAACACTGTGACAACCAACCAACCACAGCCAGGGCTAAAAGTCCAAAAGAATGAGTATCCAAAGTGAAATAAAAGCAGGCTCAGAGTGTCATCTCCTCTCTGTTGCTGCCCCGTCATTACAGTGTCCAGACACAGCAGTTACACCAGCGAAGGGAACTGGGACCAGCTGAAGATTCCACTTAAGCCAAGAGCACTTTCTGAGCAGTCCCAAGTGCTCCCTGTCCTCCTGGTAGTTTCCATTTACACACACTCAGCAAACCATCACCTTAAGTGACAGTTTACGAGGTCTTACCAAGGCCTTCTGCTGCCACCTGAAACCCCCCACCCGGGGCAACAAATTACAGGGCAGAGGCCTCTCCAAGATTTCAGGGGCTATATTTCCTTACCATCTGAGCCAAAAGGCAGGAGCAGAGAATGGGACCACGCTCTTGGCCTCTCTGGCTACTGCTAAACTGCCTGCCAAGGACATGTTTAATGCCTGGCTTATGCACCTGCAAGATGCTTCACCCATCCTATGGGATGCTCCGTGTTTAAGAAGCCCCCGTGAAACATCTCCTACAGACACTTCCCCTGCGTGCACCTGCACCTCCTCCAAAGCATGTGAGCTCAGTATTTAGGATGAGGAGCAAGGCTTAATATTTCCTGAAGAGCACTTACCAAGCTCAACACCAGCTCAATGAAAGCAGAGCAAATGTATCTCATCCTTCCAGTATCTCACCTCTCTCTTCCAAAATCTTCTGTCTTTTCTCTAGTTCTGAGAAATCTCTGTCCAAACCGCACAAGGAACTGCTTTCAGACCAGAGAAGGGAAACTTCCCACACTGACACCACTCACCAGTGCAGAATTGTAGCCCCAGCTACTAAATTTAAAAAACGAACAAAAAAAGCCCCACCAATCCTAGCAGCTGGAATATGGCACCCTGCTTTGGAGTGATAAGGATATCTGGACAGCACATGTGTGCATTTGAAGGTTCCTGGGCCCAGTTTGCCCCAGGAGCTCTGGCAGCTTTGTCACTGTTCCTGTGCACTGCCAGTCATGGCCCAGGTATGGCTGTGCTACAAGGTTTTATGATCACTGCTCACAAGCAGCAGTTTTTTAATAGAACATACCTATTATGAACATTTTTAAGTAACAGGAACCCCAAAACAGGTGACTTCACAACTGCAGCAAAGCTACTGATGTGAATTAAGAATTTAGAGAGGGAGTGTTTGGGATGTTTTGCATATCCAGCTTTTATCTCACTGCCTCAAAGAGACAACAGCTATTGCAAGAACAATTTAAAATCTTTATGCTAAGGAGACTGTTTTTAAGCAGGACTCACCCCAGCATTAAAGGGACAGTAATGCTGTTAGTCAGTACTTGCCTAGAAATTTCAGGGCAGCAAAACTGGGAGACCAGGGGAGTTTACCACAGTTTAGTGCACAGGTGTGTCATTGCCAGGCATTTTAATGTCCTCAGACTGCACAAGGATTGACTATAACTTCAAATTTGAAATGGAACATACTACAGTTTCACCTTTCCCTCTGCCAGAACATTAAGCTAACTGGGCTTAATCCTGTCCCACAGTCTTTGGAGCCAAGAGCAGGTTTGCTCAAGTGTGCAAGTGCTGGGGAGGAAGTGGAGGGTTGGCACTGAGCTCAGCCCTGCTGAAGAGCAAATACAGCTCAGATTGGATACCATAACACTGAACCTGACCTGCTTTAAAAAAGTTGGTATTTTCCTTACTCACAGGAAATGTAAACTTGCCAAAGAGGCAAACAGGAAACTCAGGAACTGTCTCTGATAGTTGGGAAGAAAACACGACTAATGTTATTGATTTATAATTACTAAAAGCCCGTGACACACCACACACAACCACTTTTTTCTGTTACCCGAAGTCCAAGCAGCCTCTGGCACACACAACACAGGCACCCACACCAGCACACATACCTTGCACCTGAGGAAGGAAAGGAAGGACACATAAAACTAGAAGATACCAGAGGAAAGCAGCCAGCAGCTCCTCAAACAGAGGATAAAATAGATTATAAAATAATTATAACATATATCAAATTTATAATTTACCAAATAGATTATAAAACATCATCACTGATTTAGTGATGATAAATTCACAAGCAACATATGACAGTAGCAAAGCAGCACACTCACCATTTTCCACCTGCAAGTACAAGTCACCCCCACTGAAACCCTTCATAAAATGGCATCTCTTGATCCTTCCCTCCAAATGGGCAACTAGGTTTCTGACAATAGCCACTACACAAACTGCTGGTATTGTAAGGCTGCTGAAACATATTCTGCTCTTGGAAGTAACAAAGCTCATAAAAACCCTGACCAGATGTGACCACAATGTGCCAGGCTGTCTGCTACAGCACCTGCAGGAAAAATGGCACAAGTGACAGGGACACATCTGCTGAAGTTCTTCCTGATTTAACAGCAGTGTTCACAGGGAGTTTGTCAGAGACAATTCCTAGCCTAGGCATGGGCAGCAGCCAGGATGTTGGACAAGCCTTTGCTCCTGCTCAGCCTGTGCTGAAGTGTCTGGTCCCTGAAAGCTAGCCACTGGCACAACACGAAGCAGGACTTTCAGGTTATCTTGGTTGTCAAAAACCCTTTTGTAAATTTGGTTCTGCCTAACTATTCATACCATAAAAGACCCCATGTTGCTTTCTGTACCAGGAAGATAAATGGGATTTTGTCTCTTGCAGGAGCACATGCTCCTCCACCATCTACTTCCACTGCCCTTCTGGATAAAGCCACAAGGCCCTATGGACTTGCCACTTTAGGCTGGGTCTGCACTGCCACTTGTATTTATCACAGTAAATGAATAAATCCAGCTGCATTCAAATTCAGAGGCTGAGATCAGCCCCTCCTTGCCACACTGCAACACATAACTCCTGTCATCCAGGCCTGGGAGCATAAATGCTGCCAACTGCCTTGTCAGGCAGGTGCACACACCCAATTAGCAACTCCACCAACATTTACATAAGGACTGTTGAGACTGCCTCTGACACCACTGTATCTTTAGTATGGTTCCATCTTTGGTTTGCTTTCCCCTTAAAAGCCTCCTTCAGTTTACCAAACAGACAGGATCATCAGGCAGAGAAATTTAAACACTGAGACACAAAACGCAACACAAGACACTCGCCATAACAACACACAGAACTTGGAAACATCCGTTCCAGAAACCTCAGTGGTGTCTGCAGTGCAAACACAAGCTGCCACTTCCTGTAAAACTCCTGGATGATTTTCATAAACTTTGTACAGGAAAGGTGGCAACCAAGACCTCAAAAGTTTGGATCTGATGATCAAACCATTTGTACGTGTCCATGCAAACTCCTTGCTGAAGCATTTCAGAAAAGAGACGAAAAAGCC